AATATATCTTATATGTCCGATATGTCCAAGATATCAATCATATCAAATATGTTCGGTATATCAAATATATCAAATATGTCTGACATTTAGATCTGCAATATGCTGCGTCACGTTCGTCAATCCAATCCTATTACAATATAGAGATTGGCTGTAATGATTTCACTGATAAGGTTACTGAAGCACTGGCTCATACTTGTCATAAATTAGAATACCTTGATCTGTGTTGCTATGATTTTGTTAGTGAGTCATCAATTTGTAATGTCATATATTCCTACCCAAAACTCCAACATCTCAACCTTAGTTACTGCAATATTATAAGTAAGACTATCGAAGAAATTGCTCGCTCATGTCTTAATTTAAAATCTCTAGATTTGGAAGGATGTGAAAATATTAGCAAAAAAGTCATGGATCAGCTAAATCCAAATATTCATATTGAAAATTTTAATAAAGATTGCTACTATTCTGATTCAGAATCTTCTAGCTCTGAAACTGAATCAGAGTCTGAATAATCTAGCTAGTCCAGAATGTGTTGAGAGGTGTTTTGCATAATCATTAATTAGATTTTTTTGCATTATAAATAGATCACATAAAATTTTCTTGGCATTTTTTCTGAGACTGCATGATCCCAAAAATTTGTTGACGCTATAACCTATATCTATTTTTTCTTATATCTGATATATACTATATTAACTTACTTTTGAATATTCAATTTCTTGTATAAAATTTATTAATTATAACATTTGAGCTTGAAGTATTAAAACGGCGTATTATTGAACTTGAAGCTAAGAATGCTGAACTTAATATTGAAAAAGTTGAGTTTGTAAAGTAGATTATAGAAGGGAATACCAAACGTGATGTTAGAGTTGAGGAACTAGTATAAAAAAATAAGGAGCTCAAGATCAGACTTGCGATAGTGAAATGGGCTTTCTTACCAGTAGAAGAATAGTCAAATAATGATAATCCTTCTAATGATAGTACATCTAACTTTAATTCAGTTGCAGAGTATCATGAGAAACTATTAGTGAATGTGGAAGCGGATAATTTCTTTCCTAAAGAGGATTGCTATAATAAACAAGAACTGGTAACAGAGGTGGCTATGGTACCGCCAATTCTGTGAAATGCCTGCAAAGCGTCTTAATAGCTAACAGCAAATCATTAGAAGAGAAAGATATAAATAGTTTCTTGCTTGAGGCTCATAAGAAAATCATTAGTAGTAAAATAAGGTAGCGAGAGAAGAAATTTTAACATGAATTGACAGTTGCTAACCCATTATACAACTCTGAAAAAAATGATCAGGTGATTTCAGAAATTTTGAGAGAGTTCAAAAAAACTGTTCCCTCAGAGAATGATTAGAATCATGTGACTTCAGGTGAACCAGATCTTCTATTTGTGAAGCAAGACGATGACATGATTCAAAAGGAATCACTTGATAAAAATCAAATCATAGAACAAGGTCTAATACATGAATTATATGTACTCATATTACCTGAAGAGGTTCCAGATGGACAAGATAATATCAAAATCATTAGCTTTTACGTTAGTTTAAAGAATTTGATTTCAGGTTCTGCCCAACACTTATCTTATTTATTTGAAACAGCAATAAAATCCAATCAGCAGGAAATATTAGACTGGTACAATTATTTTTTTGAATTTGAAAGCAAGGTTGATGCTCTTATAGCTGATGGTAGAATTAAGGATAAAACGGTAAGATCAACGATTTACAAAAAAATGAAACCATTTCTTCCTACTAAAATCACACAAACTAACTTGCACAAGAAAACTCATAGGGCTAAAAAACATCTTATGTCATTTGGAAAAAATGGGATTGGACTAGATAAAATTAAGCTAGTCTTATATAACGTAACTGAGATTTTGAAACTGACTAATCCACAAATCCAAAATGTCATAGATCAAGTAAAAAAATATACTAGTGATTATCAGAGTCATATGACTTTAATAAAAACCGTTCCCTCAAGGAATGATCAAATTAAGGCTGAGGTAAGTATATCAATAAATGTATTATCTGTATCTTCCTCCAGTCAATTCAAGCTAACTTATGACTGATCCTATTTTTGCAACAAGACATTGGATCAATATCTAAATTTATATAAAGAATTTAATAGTGAAAATTTCAATTATTATGGTATTACTGATGAGACATCATGCCTATTATGCAAGTTAAAGCATAATGATGAGGAAAGCATAGAGGGTACATATAAAGCTGGATCTTATTTTATTAAATGTGAATAGTGTGAAATTGAAATAGTTGTATAGTCAGATCACTTTGTGACTACATTTGCTTTATTATTATTTTTTTACACCTGTTAACTATTACCTAATTAGATTGATTTGTAATTATAAAAAAAGATAACATAGCCAAGTCTGATAAAATATTAACTCCCGAATATTTAAATTAGCATGCTAAATTAACTGGGTTACCAAGTATTTTGACAGATAAGATTCGTTTCAAATTATACAAAAGATATAAAAAAGAAACTGAAAATGAGCCATGGCAATTATTAGAAGCTATGATAAGTATATTAGAAAAACCTCAAGCCTCTGATTTCAAGCCCATTACCTTCAAAGCCAAGCCTAATCCAGAATTAATTATCAAATCTGTGTTAGAGCATTTCACATACTTGAAATTCTGAAATAGTTTCAGAGGGATTGATAATTATAATTTTGTATCACTTTAGCTGTAGAACTCACCATGTCCTATTTGTGATGAAAAACATAGGAATTATGGATTACATAGCTCATGATACCTCAAAAATGGGAATCAGTTTCCATATGATCCTAAATTAGCAAAGTTATTATCTCAAGATAAGTTGGAATATTATCTTAGCTGTAATTCTTCAAGCAATAAATTCAAATTCGCGATCATAGCCACGTGATAAAGCAAAAGTTATTATTCTGCAATACTGAATTCTTGATACTTAATGCAGTATCGTACTGGCGAATAAAAAATTTAATTACCTTTCTTGGAATTGTCTAAAGCGAAGGCAAATCACATGACTAAAAGCAAATCACGTGATCAGGTTAAATCACGTGATAATTAAAATGATCATAATTAATCCTGTAATATTAGTCAGAATCAGAGTAATAAATTTAAGTGATAAATTTAAGGTATATGCTGTAATGAATTTAAAGTATTTATATTGTGATAAATTTAAAATTTAAGTTAATAAGTTTATTACATCTCGTTAAATAAAGTTATTATTAAAATATATAAAAATGCTAAAAATTTTATTAAATTGTTAATTTTTTTCATTAAAATTTGAAATTATTGAATTTAAAGAAGTTTCTAGCATTGAGATAAAAGTATCTGTTTTCTTAATATCACACTTTTCTTCAATACTCCAATATCTATCATGAATTCTTTCAGTTAATTCCACTACAGTTAGTCTTCGATTTTCAGCTTCTTTTTGTTATTTTATTTGTATAAATTTTATTACCGATTCGTGACCTTCATATATTTCATAATCACCCTTTTCAAACATTTCTTGAAATGCTTTCCATGCATCAACAGTTAATAATTTAATATTTTCATATAAATATTTGTGAAAAATATGTCTACATAGTAATAAATATCAAATTCAGAATAGGCAGTAATAATTAGACATAGTTAAACCTGATGCACTTTTACCCTTTTCAATTCTGTTCATTACAGTACAAGCTTCCTTAACAAGTAGATTTTGAAGTGAGAAGGAAAATTTACGAATTTTCTTAATTATATCATCATCTATGCCATAGACAGATACTTTTTTAATACGAAAGTCAAAGGCAACTCTTTCAGAATCAGATCACCTTTTGCAGTTAATATCAACAATATTATGTACAGCACCTAAAATAAACAAAGAAAAAAAGGATATGAATAAAGAAATAAAAAAAAATTAAACAAATGAGTAAATAAAAAAAAAGAAAATATATCAATTAAACCATGTAGTAAAGATGTCAATTTTTTTAATTTACTGTGGTAAAATTTCAACAGATTCATAGATGTAACTTGCAAAAGCAAAGAGAAATGCTAACGTGCTCATAATGTCTACTACTATATATTTTTATGTAATACCTTTTGATGTAATTTTAAATAGTAGAAATAGAACAATTGTTCATAGCATCTTGCACAAGTTGTTCACAACCAATCCTTATTCTTTTGTGCATCGCCGCATTCATAATTTTGCGAGTTTTTTTTTCATAAATTTTCGTCATTCATGTTCTCATAACATGAACAACACAAAAGATTATTTCACACTCTTGTTCACCAACACTTATACCAGAAAATGCCATTTTGATGCCTTTAGCCTTAATATTACTTTGATCTGAAAGAATATAACAGGAAAGCCAATAACAATAGTTACAAATAATTTTTAGCGTTTTTGAAACAGTATTGCAATTTTCATTGCTCACAAAGAAGTGGGCATCTACATCCTAGCATCCATAAGTATTACGAACATACAAAGTAAAAAGATGCTAATCATATTTGTTTATTTTGTGAGTTGAATCGATAAGCGTCAACCATTCATAATGTTGAAGTTTCTCAAGTTGTTTTAGATGTGCAAATACAATGCTTTTAGTGAACTTAGTAGATTGGTGAAAAACATAATAACTTTCAACGCAATATCCTTTTTCTACTAGAAAGGATATGAATTTCAAAATATTTGACTTCAAATTAAAATCACACATAAGATGGACTTCTAAAGGTCTACGCACTTTGTATTTAATATTAGCCACCACTTTACGTCTCAATTCTTGCACACTTGCACTTAGGCCTAACTTAGTTACATATTCTTTAATAGCGGAAGTGATTGCTAGAGGTGAATAGTTTTTTATCGCTTCTTTTTCCACCAAATCTCAAACGGCTTAAGAACATTTTATTTTATCTGACTCTATCAATAAATGTGTATGATTAGGAGAGTCTTTATAATGTTCAACTTTGATAATTTTTAATGAGACCAGCCACAAAACTCTAATTTTAGTATGATATAGCTTGGATGATCGTATTTTTGTTATTCAGCATTTTTCATTAGGAATATTTTCCTTGTTTTGTGTATTTGATTCCCAGTGTTTCGTAAAATGACAGATAAAATCTTTCTGAATGTCGCCATTTACTTGCTTATACGAATCCCATTATATCCATACATTTGAAATTAATGGTCACCAATTTTCATCAAACTCTTCTATTGGGATTTCCAAAGAATAGCTTACATTGAAAAGTAAGTTCCGTTTTTCATCTGGTGTGAAATTTGCTAATGTGAGATTTGCCAGTGTGAGGTTTGCTGATGTGAGATTTATTGATGTGAGGTTTTTTGATATAAGATTCACTGGTGTGTGGTTTGTTATTGATGCAACACTTAAAGCGGTAGTAGCAGACATATTAAAAAAGTGGTTTTTTTTAAAATTGCTAGTGGAAGTGAAGCTAGAAAGCAAAAATTCTAGCAAATTATTACTTTTTTTTTTCTCCATTTGTAAGTTACGCTAAGAATGAAAAACTCAATGAAAAATAAACAAAATAGCATATATTTACAACTTCATAAAGTGTAAACTGCATTGAAAAGGACTTTGAACCTTGTTTTTTCTTTATTAAAAAAAGCTTCGGATTACAAAATAAAGTTTAAAAAAAAAGCCTCAGATTAAAAGATAAATTATTATCATATGTTTATCATGATCGCGTGATTTAATTGATCACGTAAACACGTGACTTAACTTTGTCACGTGATCTAATGTTTATCACGTGATTTGCCTCCGCTTTAGACGACCCCCTTTATTGTAATGTATTAAGCAACAAATTTCAGGCGGAATGGAATGTTATGAAAATGAATCGTAATGGTGAGTATGAATCGGAAATACGTCTGCATTGATTATTTTTTTATACCTCATTGCTAATCTTCGAATTCTTCCTATAGAATCGAAATTACTTTCTCTCAGCGAAGTTCTCTTTCGGGGAATATTATTTTACATAGTCTGTGCGGGTGGTAGTGATATAGATAGGCGTGGGTATGGCCGGGATAATTTATTTCGGAAATCTAGTGTAGAAAATGAGTATAGGGATTAGAATCTTGTAGTTAAAAATATTAGCAATATAAACAAATTATATTTTCCGTAAACGGTGAGAGAGCAAAGAAATAATTTGATGCTGGGACTCGCATTAAATGGCCTAGGATCCGCGTACTCCCTCCCTCTTTGATAGCATCATATATTTCTCTCGCTTCTCTAGCATTCTCCACTTTGTAGCCTTGCTAATGCTTCCAAAAAATCAATAAAGTTGGCTTTTATTTTTAAACTAAATAATTTTTGATTGATAAAAAGTGAGATCGTCGAAAGAGATAGCAAATGAAAAATACACCCAGTGACAAAAATATAATGTATAGCAAAAGAAAAAGAACAGCAAGCGTTGAAGCGTATCCATCTGGTCGAGCGCACTCATTTACGGACAGACTCCCAAGGTATATGGTAATAACGTCCCCGCTTATCCAGATGAATAACCTCAGTTTTTTCCCGACCTTCAACTTAATACCTAGCAGACGCTTGCGCAGGGATTGTGGTTTTCATATTGAAAACGTCCGCAGAATACAAGCGAGTAACCTCAGTTTTTTCTGCTCGAGTAAACCAGCTATGCTTTAATCAGTTTTAATGGAAAAATTTTTTCGTCTGAATTTATATTATGATCTGTGGCACAATCAAAAAAAGAATTGGATCATGTGCCTAAGTAGTTCAACCAAATACTTTTTTAGAAATAAAAAGCGCGTTATTTCCTCAATTACAAAGACAGTTATGAGATCAGACAAGGTTCGCGAAGAGCAAAGAAATTTTTTGAAAAATAGCGAAGATCCTCGTCCGACAAAGTTCTTTATGTAAGTACAAATACCGCAGTAAAGCGTCCGGTACTTTCAATTATGAGTTACGTTTACGTGAAGCTTTAAAAGACGACCCAAATTCAGACAAATTACTAAGTTTAAAAAGAAAATGGGAGAATGATGAATATATGTACTACTGGGATACTTATGTGGATGAGAAAAAGAACCGAAAAGTTGATGTATGTTAATTTTTTATTTAAGCTTAAAAAAAATGGGATGGGTACTTACAAAGCAGATATCGAATAATAGAAAAAAGTCAAGAAAATAAAACGTCAAGCACACTCCGACTTTCATGGTCATTTAGATAATAGACTTAAAGCTAACATTTCGAAGAAGGTAAGCTAGTTATTTTATTAACTTGTCTCCATGAAATAGCGTAATTTTTTCGCTGGTACTGGATGAGTTAGTTATCTTTATTGATTTGTCTTTATGATATATTGTTAATATTTTTCGCTGGCTTAGAGTCCAACCGGTGGAAATCAAACCAACAATATACTGGTGCCTCAATTGACGGAATTTACTGATATTCTTCATAAGACCGGAGAAGATCAGACGCAAGTTCAGGTTAATAATGATGATGCAGGTTTTTTTGATGACTTGGATGAAGGTAACGAAAGAAATGACGAAATTGAGGATATTGCCGATAACGTTTTAAGTTCGTTTGTATATGAGGTAATTTATAGTTTACATCATATTATTAGTATCAAACTTGGACTTTAAATTAATGTGATGGATCATTTTACAAGGATAAATCAAGTGTACTGAAAAATTTGGAGAATCGTTTGGCTACTACATACAAGGTTGTTTCCCACTTCGATAGACAATTTCCGTATACGAAAGAACTCTACAATACATTCCCCGATCAAATGAGAACATTGGAGAATGAATGGGAAAAGGTAATATAGTTTTGGCTTGGGTAAATTATGAATTATTGACTTATAATAATTAATTAGGTTGAAGCCAATATCCAAAAAACAACCGAAGAAAGATGGAATGTATCTAAAATGAAAGAACTTGTAGATAAGTACTATAAGATAATAATAGATCATTTCGACGAATTATTGGATGTTGATCACTAGAAGCTTATTACGGAGTTCAGTAAACCTCCCTATGATGATTTTTCTTATAAACGTGACGATGAATTGATTTGGTGTCAGAGAATATTTATTGATTTGTAGGTTTTTCGTAAAAAGTTTTTTGTTTTGTTTTTCTGTACTGTTGTTATAATTTATTTTTCCCACATCAGGACTCGACAATTTCTACGTAATAGAGGTGCTCTATTTGATAAAGAAGCCTCTGAGCTTCGCTATCGCTCGGAAATTGTGAATCCCCTGCTTGCGGGGGCATTTGAAATGATTGAACGTTCTATATGGCTTGAAACCGGAGAAATTGAGAACGAAATACAAAAAGTGCAACGGAATGATACTAAGGAAAATAAGGAGCGGTCAAAAAATTGGAATGAAACATGACGGTGTGATCAACATGATAATACACGGAAAGAAATATCAAGTCGGGTTTCTTGAGGTCGTAGGCAATGCCTTTAACAATGACATAACTGATAGGAATATTGACTTAGAAAAATTATATAAAGGTAAGCCTTTTATTACCCACTATTTAGTTCAAACATTATGCTGACTAGCTGTATTTCTCCACGAATCATAGCAATGTCATTATCATTGTGGAATCAACGTGCACATCTCGATAATGAAACTTCGCAACAACTATCAACTCTTGCTGTATTAGTCCATGGTAAATGTGAACACGTTTTGCACTGATTAC